TAAATATTGATACTAACTTGCATGCTTATTATATCGATGATTATTTAATGAATCCTATAAATTATTAAAAATTTTAATGGTGTTATAGTAATAACATTAAAACTATGATAAAGGGAAATTATACAATTGATCAATTGAATAGTAAATTACCATTAGGTATTAAATTACAAAATGATAATACCTAATTGTATTACATTTACTTCAAAAATTGATTTTTTGATGGATCAAAATTTTAAAACAAGTTTAGGGATTGATAAAATGTATTTTTTATATAAACACATTGGAGAAGTCTTAAATAATAATAATAATATAAATAAGGAATCCAATAGTTTATAATTAGATTATACAACGAGGTTGTTTTACCACAACCAGATGGTCCTATAATTAAAACACGTGAAGGCAATTCAAATAAAGATTTTTTTTTATTTTCATCTTCAATAAAAAAATTTACTTTTACTTTATCCATTTATTAAAAAAAAATATATATATTTGGTAATATAAATAAGAAATGGAAAATATTTATAATGAATAGTCAATATGAAAGTTATATACCTCAAATTACAACAGAATTGAATAAACCAAACCGAAATACAATAGTTATAGTAGATGGTAAAGATAAATTTCTGAACATTAAAAATTCAAAACTTTATTTATCATTTGAATATGTACAAGAAGATGGTTCTAAATATCCAGCAAAATCTAATGTTATGATATCTGATAATGGTGGAGCATTATTGTTTCAAAAAATTACAATTAAATTAAATAATAAAATTATGGATGAAAGTGAGAATACTGGATGATTAAGTACAGTAAAAGGTTATATGAGTTATGCTGTTGATGGAAATGGTCCTACACAAAATTCAGGATTTGAATCTACATCTCAAGGGGGAGGAAGTGTCGAGCTCATCATTCGTTTATCACACTTTGGTTTAGGATCAATGAAAGATATAAAAAGTCATCTTTACAATGCTAGATTTGAAATAATTTTTACAAGAAACACTGATGATGATGCGTTGATTCTAGAAACAAACACTGAAGCTACAGCAGATACAAAAAATATTAAAGCAAAACGTGGTAAAATTAATATTTTAGAATTAAAAGTTCAAATGCAAAATATAGAATATGATGAAATAACAAAAATTCAAATAGTTGATGTATTAATTAAGAATCCATGTATTTTAGCTTTTAAAAAATGGCAAAATATTGAAGTAAGATATCTTACTGGAAAAAAGATAAGATTCGATTTATCATTTAGTCATAAAAATAATAGACATCCATTGTTTGGTGTTGTTTAACAAACAGATTAGACAATCAAGAAAGTAATGCTTGTTTTTTTGATCATTGTAATGTCGTAAATTATTCTTTTGAAGTAAATGGAAAAAAATATCCTAATGAATTACAAAATCAAGATTTTAATGATATAAAATGTTGTCAATCATATGAAGATCATATGAGTTATAAAAAAACCTATTATAAATCACATGAAGAAAATCCATTAATGTATTTAGATAAATTACCATTTAGACAAAAGAGACCATTTTTTGTTGTTAACATGACTAGACACCCTAATCAAATTTCAATCTCCAACTGTACAGTAATTTTAAACTTAGATTTCAGTCAACATTTACCTGATAAATTAATTTGTTATATTTGTTTAATTTCTAGTGCAGTGTATACGTTTGATATTGAAAGAGGAATAGTTGATGAAAGTTATTAAATATATTAAAATTAATTAAAAAATCGTTCCCTACTTTAATTTTTCAAGATATTTTATCTTGAAAAAAAAAAGTTTTTAATATTTATTTTTTTATTAGATCAAGAACACCAATAAATTCTTCATCAAAATTAACAATATTACCTTTCAAATCTAAAATATAAATTTCTATTTTTTGAAACCGATTTTTACTAACTGGTCTATATATCATTTTATGAGGTTTAATCAAAGCACTATTAGAATTATATTGAAATAAAAATAAAACTTCATCATAATGAGATAGTTCATCAATATCATGTGTAATAGATTCTTCAATTATATTACAATGTACTTCTAATATTTTGTTGTTATTATTTAATGATGCATTTTCTCCATGATGTGTATGTATCCCTCCTAAACTTAAATTTAAATCTTTATCAAATGAAAAATAATCTTTTGTTGTTATTTTAATGTAATCACCATTATTTTCAAACTTCATAATCGAATTGAATAAACTATTTAAACGTTCAATTGAATAATTTCCTTTTAATTCTGTTTTACTATTTTCATTAGAAATAATACCATTTATTTCTTTTAAGAAACCTTGAGTGTAAAATGTTGGAGTTTTCATTCCTATTACCGTATAAGCAATATCTGGTGGTGTATACTCAACTCCTAATTCTATTTCTTTCCCTTTAGGCCATGTTTTATTAATAGGGATCAGACGTTTTATAAAATTAAAGCCTAAACAATTTGATAAATATTCATCAAAACACAGACCAATTGAAGCAGTTATTTTTAATAAATTTTTATTTATTTCAAGATTTATTTTAGGAAAATTTTCCACAAATTTAGTTCCGAATGAATTAAATAAATTTTCAATTTCACCTATTGAATAAATACCAATAAATATTGTACCTAGTGGGATTTGACCATTTCGAACTAATCTAAATTCACATTCTTTTTCAATATTTATGTAATATTCACCATCAATAGGATAGTACATTTTTTTCTCACTTGTCATTGAAAAATCTATATTATCATTAAAACCTAAATATTTTTTTAATTTTTCATCTAATTTATAATAACAAGGAGATTTAATTGTAATTCTATTAGTTTCATCAGAAAATGATATAATAAGTGGTTCTATTTCTTTGTTCAATTGTTCAATACTATATCTACCTGTTTTTATTTTTATTATATTCTGTTTAATTTTTATACAACAGTCTGATTCAATATTAATAAAATCGTTGCCTTTCAAAACGATTGAATAAAGACCTAAAAAATGATCACCATCATAATTGTGAATAGGTTTGTTTAAATGAAAACGACCCTTTTTAACTTTTATAAATACCATTTATAAAAGTAAATTTATTTTTTACTTAAAAAAAATTAAAATCATGTCTTGTTTTCCCATTCTTTAAAAATTTTTCACCATTATAAATAAGATTCAATTTTGTTTCCGAACTTGTATTATAACATGTTATTACGTTTTCTGTAAATTCAATTGTATATCTATCTGGTAAATTTAACATATATTCATCGTTTAATACAACTGATAATCTTTTTCCAAACAATGTATCAATCATTAAGAACTTATTTACTTTGTATGGTTTTCCTTCTTCCAAATCATTAAATTTTATAAATGTATATCCATTGTTTATTTTATTTAAAGCATCTTTAAAGTTTTCCATTTCTATTTCTTATTTATATTAGAAAAAATAAATTTTTTTATTTTCAATAATTTTTTTAAAAATTTTTTCATTATAAATATAAAAAAAAGAATGAAACTATATATTGTCTTAAATGTAAAATTCAAACAAAAAATATTAATGCAACTAAAATTCAAACAGTTAATGGTAGATGGAGAATTTCATCAAAATGTTTTATCTGTAACACAAATAAAAATAAATTTATAAAAAATCCTACAATTGGACATAATATTTCCAATAAAAAATTAAATGATACAGATAGAATGATATTGGCTAAAGAACTTCATAAACCAGTTAGAAAAAAATTTCCTAAACGAAGAATTTTTACTAAAGGTATTGATGGTTTATGGGCTGATGATTTAGTTATAATGAGAAATTATTTTGATGAAAATAAGGGTTATTCTTATATAATAACTGTTATAGATACGTTTTCAAAATTTTCTTGGGCTTTAGAACTCAAAAAGAAAGATGGAATTAGTGTTTCAGAAGCATTTCAAAAAATAATAAAACAAGCTATATCACAAAATCATCAAGCACCATATTTACTTCACGCAGATAAAGGTTTGGTATTTGAAAATAAACATTTTAAAAAAGTTTTGCTAGAATATGGAATTAAAATGTATCACACCCAAAATGGAGAAAAATCGTCAATTATTGAAAGATTTAATAGGACATTAAACAGTAAAATGAGATTACAATTTGAACTTACAAATTCAAAAAAATGGATTAAAATTTTACAAAGTTTAATATATGAATATAATTTCAAAGACATACATCAATCTATTGGTATGAGACCTTGTGAAGTAAATAAATCTAACAAAGATGCTGTTTTTCACAAATTATATTCTACAAAAAACAAACCTAAACCAAAAATTTCCAAAATATTAGAAGCTTCTAAAAAAACATTTGGTAATAAATTTATTAATAATTGGACAAAAGAAATATTTATAGTTAATGAAGTTAAACACAAATCCTATTACCTATAAAATTATAGATTTAAACAATGAAGAGATTATAGGGAGTTTTTATAACCAAGAGTTACAAAATAGATATTATCTATCCTTGTCAATTTTCTAATGAAATCTTTTAAACTAAAATTGACAACAGTGGAATAAGTTGAAGTCATTTACCTTGTACTTCTAAAAAGTTTCTCACACGTTTGGCTACTATAAAGCCAAGGAAGGAACATTTGCAAATCTTTACCATTTTCTAATTTACTGAAATATTTTACTAAATTTATTAAATCAAGAGCATTTAGCTCAACGCATGAATATGCATTACTAGTGATGAAATTGTTTTTTAATGTTAAATCATTATTTTTCAATACTGGGCATCTCCATATTCTTAACAAATATACACTATGCCATAAACAGTATAATCTTTCTTTTACACCTATTGTTTTATTTAAATATGATTTAAGCACATTGTTCATTATTTTTAAAAATGATGTACTTACCCTGGCTATCTGGAATATTTTTTAAAAGTTCTATCACTTGATCAGAACACATTTTTTCGGCAGCATTGAAATTCATTTTATCATCAGTATTTAAATCGGTACTAGTTAAAAGATGTTTATGTTTATCTTTAGAATATAATTATGTTAGCTGAGACAAATGAGTAATAGATACAGTGTAAGAGCCAATTGGTAAGTCAATTCCTGGTTTTAATATCCTGGTTCTAAGTTTTGTCCCTATGTGTACAGTATCTTGTACAAAGAATTGTGAAAATTGTGATAAATTGATTTTATTGTTATAAGTCTTAGACTGCATTGACTTCAGTAACCGTGTATCACCATCTGATGAATATCCTAAAACTGTAATTTCTTCATCGGCAGCCAAATCATTTATAATTTTCCACCTTGCCTTAACATCTAAATGTGTAAATTTATTGTCCGTTCCAAAAATAGCAATACAGAAAGGTGGAGCGTTATCAGATGGAGGTTGAGCCATAATTACATAGACATAATGACTTTTTATGGCATTTTCAAAATATTTCATAATTTCTTTTGCAGAACTTGCAGTAAATGAATCTGTTTGAGCGTACCCATTAACAAATGGTAGTACAAATCCAATAATTTTGTTACTTAGGGCATCATATTCAATTTTCCCTGTAATGCCTTAATACCTGTAATAATCTTCGCTTACCCAGATGCATAATGGTAAATTTCTTTCAATTAGAAATTGTTTAAGTTTTTTCAAACGGTATTCCCCTTCCACAACATTATCTTTGTTGGCAGATATATATCTGAAAAGTGAGGTAATTGAAGGTAAGGAGTTATTTAGGTTCGCTTGCAAAGTCTCGTATAGTAATCTACCGCCCACAAAAAATAAATATACTGCGAACTTTTTTATTTTTTCACTGTATCTGTTACTATGTCTGTTTTTACTTCTTGAGTTTTTAATTTAGGCGTCACATAACAATTTTAAAAATGAGCTAGAATCATTAGTTTGCAGAACTGACAACATTTTTGAATTAAATATTTTTTCAACTACAGAGTTTTCACAATCTGGAGATTTATCATCTTGAAAAAATGTTATTAGATTGTTCTTATTTGTGTTTATTATTTTCTTAACATTTTCAATAACTTTATAAAAATTTGCTATCAGTTGCTGATAGTTTCCATCTTTAACCAAACTACTTTCCCGAGCACGTTTTTCCCGTTCTTTTCTACTATATTTTAAGTCTTTCCATTTAGATATCACATTTTTCTTTGGGTGTCCAGTTAATGGTTCATTGTAAGGCAAAACTAAATCCAAGCAAGGCTTATTGGCCTCTTCAATAACCTTGCTATAATTAAAATCCTGACTACAATTACTAAGTGAACCACACAA